TGAATGAACAGCTAAACCGCCTGGGGCCACTCCCGCCATTTCTCTAAGTCTTTGTCCCCTCACTTGTAAACTGAGTCCTGAGGTGGTAGTTGTTGCTAGGTGTCATCGACCGGTCAATTCCGGTCAGCGACCCTACACACAGCAGAAGGGAACATGCCCGGTTGTGCACCGTCCGCACGATTGTTCTGATCTCTGAGCCCACTGCTGCAGCCACCTGTCCGTCCATCTCATTGAACATCGAAGGCCTTCCTCTTTGTCACTGCCCCTCCGCTTCACCAAGCGTGATGTCCTTCTCCAGGGACTGGCCTCTCGTGACATGTCCAAAGTACACGCTCCTCTTCCTTGCCTCTAAGGAGCACTCTGGCCGTGCTCCTGTTGGTCCGTGGGACTTTGAACCGTCTTCCCCAGCACCATCGTTCAAATGCACTGGTTCCTCCTTGGTCTTCCTTAACTAACGGAAGTGATACCGGTTCGAAGGATATTTGGCAATGTGTGCAGACATGGAGGGGAGAGGAGGGGAGGGGAGGGATGCTACAGCATACCCTCCGATGCACAGCCCAGCCTCTGTGACAAAGGACCGATGACCCAGCCTCAAATGCACCCCCAGCACAGAGCTGGGCCCAGGGAACTGAGGCCCAGAGCAGGGCAGCTGTCATCGCCAGCAAAGCATCATGGGCCTGCAATTCCTGGGAGGAGCAGAGCAGCGTGGGCGGAAGGCATCCATAAATGGTGCCGCACAAAAGTAAAGGAACAGCTCAGTCCTTTGGGTTAAGGGTTGCCCTCTTTCAACATGTGCCTGCAAGCCCCTCAGCGCACCTGCCCCCGCTCATCCATCAGTGGGCCGTCCTGGGGCGGCAATGATGCAGCACCGGTGTTTCCAGCAACAGCAGGTCACCCAGGGTGGGCGGGCTTGAGCCAAGCTTCCTAAAATAGACTAGGATGAAAGGCTGGCGACCTCCTTCCAACAAAACCCAATGAAGACCCCACGGATCAGTTCACGTTGTCCCAGACTTTGACGTGTCTACTCCGGATACATCACAAGGGGGTGATCTGGCACTGGGGGCGGACATCGCGCTGGTGAAGCAGGGAGCCACCAATCACCACTGGGAAAGGCCGGTGAGGGGCACTGACTGGCCCCCAATTGTGGCAAAGGTACAGGGCTGGGCAGCATTTTTTGCTGCTGCATCTGGGTCCCCATGAGTCAGAACTGACTCCCAGGCCACAAACAACCACCAGCTCCCCAGAGGGAATCAGGGCAGTAGGCCGTGTGTAGGTAGGAGATGGGCGAGGGAGGGCAAGGGGAGCCAGTGATGATAACAGTATGTGTCCCTTATTTAGCCCAGAATGCGTGTGTTCTCAAGGAGTCCAGGTGACATCGTTGTTAGACATTGCTGGGCTGCTAACGGCAAAGCCAGCAGTTCAAAACCCCCAGCAGCCCCGTGGGAGAAAGATGAGGCTTTCTACCCCGTTAAAGCCGTGCAGTCTCAGAAACCCATAGAGGCAGCTCCACTCGGCCTTGAAGGGGGGCTCCGAGTCTGAATGGACTGAATGGGAGTGGACTTCAGTGTGTGTTTGTGTGTTTCCAGTGTGCGAACTCTACTCTCATTTTACTCACAATGAACCACCAGAAAGTCAATTCGGAGTAAAATGATTTGTCTCCCCTCTCCTACCTGATCGCACCCACTGAAATGCTGCTTCCCAGGCAGGAGGAAGCGATGACTTTTCTGAATTCGTCTCTCGCCGGGCCTGACCCCCAGCACCAGGAACATCGGGAGGCGAGGCGCTAGCTCCCAGTAGCTCACAGAGAACAATGGAGCAGCTTCCCCCTCCTTATTACAGGAAATGCCAAGAGGGGTCATTTCTGGGTAGGGCTGGGGCTGTGGGAGCTGGGGTGGGGGAGTAGGGGTGTGTACTAGGAAGAGGAAACAGCCTTAGGGGAATGGGCACCTGGCCCTTGGAGAGGGGAGGGGGACCTGTTGGAAAGGCCACAACAGGAACCAATGCCAAGGTGGTCCCCACCACGGTGTGGACACACACACACACACTCACACACACACTCACACACACCCCACCCTCCACCTCTCCGGCTTTTCATCTCCACCATCCACAGGAAACCCCTCAAGTCAAAAAGTCCTGGGACTCAAGCACACCCTGCAGCCAGACTTGGAGACATGGCAGACCCTGGTGCCACAGTGGGTTAAGGGTTGGGTTGCTGACCAAAAGGTCAACGGTTTGAACCCACCAGCTGCTCCTCAGGAGACAGACGGCCTCGGATGCTTTATGAAGCCCTTCTGCTTTGCCCTGTAGGGTTGGAACAGGCTTGACCCCAGGCGGCCAGCATAGCAGTCCCGAGGCTGAGAAGGGTGCCCACTGGTGCCTGGCATACTTCCCAGCACATGCACCCCAACTCTGCACTGTCAGGGTGAATGGGGCTCGGTGGGCTCAGAGAAGCCCCTGGAGGTAAAAATGGTTTGTACTAACCAGAAAGTGCCACTTGTTTGAGCCAGGCTGGTCTCTGAACTCCAGTGCCGTGGGTGACCGAAAAAAATGAGTCAGTGACCCAGGCAGAGGGGGGAAGGTTCCGCTGATGGCTGCTAGCTGGCCTGGCCAAACCCAAGGCCAAACCCAAGGCAGGAAACCGGCGCTTCCTTCTCCTGCCGGAACACGGCGCTCCAGCCCTGAGAGGAGCTTCCTGCAAGCTGACCGGCCAACTTCCCCTAGAAGATTCCATGTTCAGCTGGAGATGCTAAGAACAGGTCCCTGGGCAGTGCCTGCCACCGCTGCCCTTCCAATCTGGAGGTGGGCGCCTCACCTTCAGGCCTCTACTCACAACCTCTCACCCGCACCCCCATTCCTTCTCTACCAGGCCCGACCTGCCTCTCACCAACACAGCACAGTCCAAACCCGTTGCAACCAAAATGAATCACACCAAGATCTGTGCCCCCTCCTCTTGTTTCTGGACGGGAGGTCTGTTCTGTTCTGGCAAGGTCTAGACTCTCGCTCTCCTAGCTCCACCGAGCTGGGTCCTGGGCCTCCACGATCCCTCTTCCCAGGGCTTCCCAGGTTCCAGCTGCAAGGGCCTGCTCTCCCTTTCTTAGCAACATGCCATCCACAAGCCCCACGCAGCCACAGCCACCTGATAACCCCCACATTACTCCTTACTTAACATTTTCCTTCAAGCTAGCAAGTGTTCAAAGGGAATGTTCTAGCTTCCCCATAAATGGAAAACCGCGCTGTTGGCCCGAAGTAAAACAGAAGAAAACACATCCAAATAAATACACAATCTCGGAAAACTGTGAAGGCTGATTCGTGTCACCAAATGCAGGCAAAGGTCCTCAGTCTCACGAGCGATCGCTGAGGTGGACTCAAACCACAAGGAGATGCCGTTTTGCAAGAAGTCCTGGTGGCCTAGTGGTCAGGTTGGGCTGTGAACAGCGTGAAAGGTCAGCAGTTTGAAACCACCCGCTACTCTGTGGGAGAAAGAAGGGCTTTTTGGCTCTCCTAAAGCGTTGCTGTCTGGGAAACACACGGGGCAGTTCGCTGGGAGTCAGAACTGACTTGAGGGCAGTGAGCTCCTTTTGGGTTCCGGATGGGTCAACGAGAAGCCCTAGCAAGCGCCTACCCACAAGGCGAGCAGTTTGAACGCACCTACGCTTTCTGGAGCCATGGAGGGGCGAATGAACCTCCTAACACGACGGCTCCGAGAGAGCATCTTTCAACCTTAAACCAAAAGTACCCCTGAACGCCTCTTACAGCAGAACGTGAAAAAGGCCCGCCCTTACGGACCACTCTGACGAAGGGCACACGAGCAGGTGCTGGAAACAGTGGAGAAAACTGTGGAACGAGACGGAAGACCGTGAAACTGAACCAAAGTGGACTCTCCCAGAGATCCATTTTGGTAGGGCAATAATCACATCAGGGAGTACACCAGCCCTCCTGAGGACCACCGGGGGGGGGGGGGACCCCAGGGCAGCATCTTCCCCCGCCCCCCAACACAAAGCTCAGAAGACAGGAGGGGGTGGGAGAAAGAGGAACGGACCCGGGAGCACAGGGCCAGCGCAGGAAGACTGTGTTGACATCACAGAGAATTGCAGGCAATGCGACCCCCCCAAAAAACCAAACAAACAAGACCCGTCTAAACGGTTGAATGGAAAGTGAATCCACTCTGCAAACACCCCACCCCACCCCAAGCCACAAGAAAGAGTAACAGCCACAGAGAAGTCTGCCTCGCCTTCAGCCTCCTGCTCTTTGAAGAACTCTCTCGATGGAACAGCAGCAACTCCAGAGATGAGATGGCAGGCAAGCTTAGGGGGCCAGGGGCTTCTGTCAACAAGGGGGTACAACTCCGAAGAGGAGGAAGAGGAGGACGAGGGTGCAGGCTGTAAGAATGTACTCAGCAGCGTCCGGGAATTGGGCTGTTTGGTCACGCATATTCTCAACCACAACAAAGTCAAAGGAAGTGTAGAGAGAAGAGTAAAGGCCCGAGGGGATGCCGCTTTAAACCCTCTCACACCCTAAGGGACTCAGAACTTGGGAGGGAGGGGGTTGCCTCTTTTGTGACCCTTAGCCATCTGGGACCGTGTCACACAGTCCTGCCATGCCGCCCCCAAGGAGGAGGCCCTGCGGTGATCCCTAGACGTAAAGATATCGCGTGTTGAGATCCTGGGCTGTGACCCAGTCCCATGCTTGTCAGGCACCCTGCTGGGCTTTCTGCTGGGCTTTCTGCCAGAACACAACCCTCCCGCCAGTCCCTGGCCTCTGGGGCATCTCCACGGGGGTTACAGGGAGAGCCCAGCAACTGTCCCAGGGGAGATCTGGTCCTCTCCAACGCGGGCAACCTGGGTCCACCCAGAAACGCCAGCTTCCAGTCAATGATTAACCACACGCGCTCCCTCCACAGACGCACACCCTTTCCTGGGGAGCCGGCAACACTGAGGAAACCCACCCGAGAGGGGCACCTTCCGCACCCAGGCAGATTGAAGAGATCCAGAAGCACCTACCAGGCACCAAAGGGGGCTCTCTCAGGCTCGGGGCAGGAGGAGGCGTCCAGCTCCCGCCCACCACAGCCGCCCGTTGTCAGGGGCGACCTAAGTGCTCCAGAGGAGATCTGAATCACTCAGACTTAAGTCAATAAGGGCAGCCGCCAAGGAGGAAGGGCCAGCTGGCGTCAAACAAAGGCCTGGATTCTCCCCCGTGGGATGGACAGAGGGACGGGAGGCTGGCCAAAGCCACCCCCGGCCAGTGTGCTCCAGACTCAATACAGGGAGACCCCCTGTGGGGAGAAGTTTGCATTCGTTTGTGTGTTTCCATCTGTCCCTACCTAGGAATTTCAAGGACTTTTGTTAGAAAGTGTGAATTGTCATCAAGTCACATGGACTTAGCGCAACCCTAAGAGACAGAGCTGAACTGCCCCGCTGGGATTTCAAGGAACCAGGTAGCAGCTGGCGGGTTTGAACCAGCGACCTGGCAGCTGAGTCTGTCACCCCTGCGCCCCAGGGCTGCTATGTTCTGGAAAGGTGTCTGAAATGTTCGTTGCAGGGAGTGTTCGTGGACGTAGCTTTCTAAGGCCTCTGCTGAAAGGAGTGGAGGCGGCCCCCCTTCTGGTGTGGCGCCTCAGGAAGCAGGTAAACCGAGGCACAGCTCTCTTGGCCAATGTCATCAGTGGAAGCCTCCCAGAGGTCCTGAAGGAGGAGAGCGGGAGAACGGGGGGCGCTTACAGAGCAGGGAAGACGAGGACAAGGGCCTCCTTGTTGACCTTCTCGTGATGCAAACAACGAGTGACCAAAAGGAAGGTGGGGGAAACCATCCAACACGTTTTGGTGAAAAGAAAAATAACAGCATCTAGCAACCCGTGTCCCATCGGGCAAGCAAAGCAGCAATTACGAGGAACGGATTGACTTCATCACCAGCGGTTCTCAGACCAAGTTCCAAAGGGCGCTGGGAGCATACTGCATCCCTTTGGGGACCAGGAGGGGGGAAGGTGGGGGGCTGTAGTCTAACCCAATCCATAGCAACCCAGGCTTCTTCGGCTTCGTCACCGTCTATGGGGCAGATCTCATTTCAGACAAGACTCTGCAGCCCCCAGGGTGGAGAACCGCTGACAGGTACAGGATGAGTGTGATGGGGGTCTCCCCAAAGGAAGAGTGTGATGGGGGTCTCCCCTTAGCCAGCTGTGGGAGTTACATCATTTCATGTCAACTTGATAAACAAGTGTAGGGGTGGAGTCCAGCCTGTCCACCAGGTCACAGCCTGAGGATGCCTCCTGTGGGCGTGGCCTTCTCATGAGGATTCTGGGAACGTC